ATCCGATTAATGCGCGGAAATCTTAAATTAGTATTCGGCAATGTTAGAGGAGAGTGCAGCCTAGTTGGACGCCGACAGTTTGTTGCTCTGTTAATATTAGCACTTGTTATCTTGTCTTTTGTCAAATAAATGTCACCAATACAAATGTACGAAGTGCAGATGTTTTGGTAATTAGTCCGCTATTTACATTTTGTAAACCAGCCCCCGAAATTACTCTCAACAATACTGTATGCAAGGATTCCTTTGTCTTCTCAGGAATTCTTCCTTTTCTGTGTTGCTATCTCTAAGCCCCCATCTTGACACCTCTGGGAAGCAGAGATGCTGTTGTGATCACATCCTGTAAGCCTGATGATCTGATTGGAAGTTAACGTAAAGACGTCCTCCAGCAATTTTTGAACTTTTACTGCTGAAAAGCGAGGTAACACTATATTTTAAGGTTCTGTAATAAACAATTTATAAGGCATTTGATGTCATCAGCCTTCCCCTTGCTTGAGGAATAATAGAGGAGCAATAGAGAACAAAAGAGGAAAGGCCCACCTCCTCCACTTGTGCTACTGTATGAGCCATGGTTTCTTTGTCTCTCTCTCCCTCTCTGATCATGCCTAGATTTTGACTGCCTTAATGCCAGTGATGCCTTGTAACTTATGGTTTTGCCTTGTATAAAGGATTCCTTAACCTTTTACAATGAAATTAAATATTTAGTCTTATTACGGGTCGCAGGTGAGGTATATATGAAAAAGATTCCAGCACTACAATAACAAGAAATGTTTGCAAACTTACCTGTAGTGTATATTGTTGGAATTTAAGAGGTGAATTCTTTATTCCTATACTATGCTTGGGTAGGGGGATTTGAATTTCCGAAACAGCTGCATCTCAGAAGCGGCAATTATCATGGGTGTTGGGTGGTGACAACGTTTCTAATTGACCAATACTGGTGTGGTCCAGTTACATGCCACATTAGAAGGACATTTAAGCGCCTTTATTTCTGTCCTGAGGACTGAGAAGACATCGTGAGGTTGACGTAGGTTCAGGCATTTATCAAAGGTGCGCACGATTTAGGAGTTAGGTGAAAGGGTTAAGGTTAGGGTTAGGGAAAGGGTTAGCTAACATGCTAAGCAGTTGCAAAGTAGCTAAAAAAGTAGTAAGTAGTTGAAAAGTTGCTAATTAGCAAAAATGTTAAAGTTGTCTCTGATGAGACGCCCACCAATAGATTTTTGAACTCACAACCTTTGGTTTGCTAGATGTTCACATTATACGCAAATTAAGGCGTTTTTGTTACCATAAAAGGTGAATGGAGGGTGTTTTACAGGCAGGGTTGTAGCGCTCTATCATGACGCACAAATATAATATGGCTCTACAGTGGCAGTCGGTTACATTTAAGATGAGGGAGGAAGATACATTATTTTAATGAGCATGGCCTTATTTCTATTACAGCATATTGGATGACTGTCATTCATACCCAGCTCAATGTAACGTCGATAGGTTTAGGCTACTACATGATACTTGAATTTTCCCTATTCAGATCATGAGTTTGCTACAACATAGCCTATGAATGAACGTTTACAACGTAGGTTCCCAGGTTGAGAGACAAATTTGAGTATTCAAGGTGGCAGAGAGTGACACATTCAATACCGCCTTGCACACTCTTGCCTGCATCTAGCTGATCTAGGGTGTAATCATTAGTCCAACAGTTGCAAACAAGAGTTTCTATTGGGCAAATTCAGGTGTGTTTATCCTCGTTTCGTTCCATTTGCTTCCGTTTAAGAAAAGTTTTTCAACAGAATCGGCGGAATGAATACACAACCTGATCACACGCAAACACAGGTCACTTTCATAGCAGTCACATACAAACAGCATGCTCATTTTGCTCATTGTAGAATTCCTTCTCGCATCTACGTGCTCTGCTCCTCTCACCTTTTCCCTTTGCTTGTGGACTTCAGTGCACAACACATCAGCTGTCTGTGACCAGGCGGAAAAAAACAAGCCAAACCTACATATCATAACCGCTAATTGCTACACACAGCCTACCTACATAATCGTAGCTACTAGAACTAACGTGTTGGTAAACCCGCTACAATCATGCAGTACAGTGTAGGCAGCAAGCAGTTTAGCAGTTACACCGGCAGGCCCCAACGGCAATAAATTAATAAAACCAAAAGCTTACCTTGACTTGGAAGAGTTCCAGTGTTGGATAGCCATAGCCAGCAAGCTAACATAGCATCCCTCTCTGTTTGAGCCGGGTGTTTGAGTAGGCTAAACTAGCTAGCTGCATTCACTAGCTACAGTGCCTTGCAAAAGTATTCATCCCCCTTGGCGTTTTTCCTATTTTGTTGCATTACAACCTGTAATTTAAATTGATTTTTATTTGGAAGTGAAAAAAAATAAAAAAAGTTTTAAAGAAAATTCAAAAAATTAAATAACAGAAAAGTGGTGCGTGCATATGTATCCCCCCCTTTGCTATGAAGCCCCTAAATAAGATCTGGTGCAACCAATTACCTTCATAAGTCACATATTTAGTTAAATAAAGTCCACCTGTGTGCAATCTAAGTGTCACATGATCTGTCACATGATCTCAGTATATATACACATGTTCTGAAAGTCCCCAGTGTGATGAGGTGAAGTTGAAGGAGTCAAGCGCAGGAGGGTAAACCACAGAATAACAGGCTTTATTCTGCAAATACAAAGTTACGCAGTAATGCGTCAAAAACAAGGCACACGGGAAAATATCGCGGCGATACCAAATACACGGAGCTCCACCGAGCTTCACTATCCTCCACAATAAACAATCACACACAAAGACAAGGGGGCAAAGGGAACACTTATACAGGTACTGATGAGTGGATATGAACCAGGTGTGTGTAATAAACAAGACAAAACAAATGGAATGATGAGACGAGGAGCGGCAGTGGCTAGAAGGCCGGTGACGACGACCGCCCAAGCCTGCCCGAACAAGGAGAGGAGGCAGCTTCGGAGGAAGTCGTGACACCCAGAGTCTGCAACACCACTAAGCAAGGGGCACCACCAAGCAAGCGGCACCATGAAGACCAAGGAGCTCTCCAAACAGGTCTGGGACAACGTTGTGTAGAAGTACAGATCAGGGTTGGGTTATAAAGAAATATCCGAAACGTTGAACATCCCACGGAGCACCATTAAATCCATTATTAAAAAATTGAAAGAATAGGGCACCACAACAAACCTGCCAAGAGAGGGCCGCCCACCAAAACTCACGGACCAGGCAAGGAGGGCATTAATTAGAGAGGCAACAAAGAGACCAAAGATAACCCTGAAGGAGCTGCAAAGCTCCACAGCGGAGAGTGGAGTATCTGTCCATAGGACCACTTTAAGCCGTACACTCCACAGAGCTGGGCTTTACGGAAGAGTGGCCAGAAAAAGCCATTGCTTAAAGAAAACAATAAGCAAACATGTTTGGTTTTCACCAAAAGGCATGTGGGAGACTCCCCAAACATATGGAAGAAGGTACACTGGTCAGATGAGACTAAAATTGAGCTTTTTGGCCATCAAGGAAAACGTTATGTCTGGCGCAAACCCAACACCTCTCATCACCCCGAGAACACCCTCTCCACAGTGAAGCATGGTGGTGGCAGCATCATGTTGTGGGGATGTTTTGGATCGGCATGGACTGGGAAACTGGTCAGAATTGATGGAATGATGGATGGCGTTAAATACAGGGAAATTCTTTCAGTCTTCCAGAGATTTGAGACTGGGACAGAGGTTCACCTTCCAGCAGAACAATGACCCTAAGCATACTGCTAAAGCAACGCTCGAGTGGTTTAAGGGGAAACATTTAAATGTCTTGGAATGGCCTAGTCAAAGCCCAGACCTCAATCCAATTGAGAATCTGTGGTATGACTTAAAGATTGCTGTACACCAGTGTAACCCATCCAACTTGAAGGAGCTGGAGCAGTTTTGCCTTGAAGAATGTGCAAAAATCCCAGTGGCTAGATGTGCCAAGCTTATAGAGACATACCCCAAGAGACTTGCAGCTGTAATTGCTGCAAAAGGTGGTATTGTGTGTTGATTGATGAGGGCATTTTTTAAATTTAATACATTTTAGAAAAAGGCTGTAACGTAACAAAATGTGGAAAAAGGGAAGGGGTCTGAATACTTTCCGAATGCACTGTATATAGTTTTATAGTTTTATCTAAAAATGATATATTTTTTAATGTTTCACTCTTTTTATTTTTATGAAATTCACTTAAGAGGATGGTCCTCCCCTTCCTCCTCTCAGGATCCTCGACTGTGCTCTGATTTATCAATGAAAACATGCGTAGCCTCTGGCACATCCTAGAATCTCCACGTACGCCAGAATTTAAGTAAGAAATGTATGCATGGTTGATAAATGAGGCCCCAGATTAGGCCTACTGTATTATGATTTGAGTTAGGCCACTTCAGTTTTTGGTTGCTGTTTCGTTCATCGTCCTGTTTGTTATTTTTGTTTGTAGACTACATTCTGATCCTCACTCCACCACCAAGAGTGCCATTTTCATAGGCACAGGCCAAGGCTCAGGCTATAGAAAGAAAAGGCTTTTAGATGTTTGGGAAACTGAATCCATTACTCTGGAATATAATAAGGCATAGGTCAAGAGCTAGGCAGAATGTAGACCTACATGTTTTACTCTATAACCATTTTATTTTGTATAATGTGGCCAGATAAAGACCCAGCCGTTTATTAAACCCTGCCAGAAGTTATGCTTCCAGTGTAGCAGGTGAACAAGTGTAGTGCTTCTACAACTCCCCTGTTAGGCAAGGCCCCACAAATTACCTGACTATTAAGTCCTTCACTGTAATTTGTTCATAACTTAATGTTGTTCATGTCGAGGGGACGCAGCATGCATTCTTTCTTAGAGTTGGATCAATTGTGCCACAATTGTGCCTGTCAGCAAGAAAATGTAATTTGTCAGCTTTCTTGGCTTCTCTCCAGGAAAGGCTTGACCTCGTGACCCATCCCATCAGGAGGTGAGCCGGTTACCGGAGGTATAAAAACCCTGTGTGCCCCCGGAGACTGCAGTCCAGTGGGTTCTGAAGACAAGTGCAACATTAAAGAAGGTCCAAACTTACAAGGCTACGGTAAGACTTATTTTCTTTGTCGTTATAGTTTAAAAGTTTAAAAGCAGAAGAGTAGTGAGACATTATGAGATATAACAATTAGCTTTTTAAGAATGTAATAATTTGTTTATTAATATCTCCTTATTAAATTGCTTTCATCATTGCTTAGTTTTCAGTGAAATAATGCTTCTATTCTTTCTAGAGATGAAGATCTGGCAACTGCCTTCCATGCTCCTTGTTTTTATATCAAGTGTCTCTCCTCACCCTCATCACTTATTTGAGTATGATGAGCTAAGCCAGTATGTTGACAGCCATCAGGAAGAATATGTACAGGCAAGTTTCTTAACAGGATCACGATGTTGTCTGTTTTATTATCTGATAATACAATATTCATTTTAAATAAATGCTGTGTGTGTGTGTGTGTCTGTGCGTGTGTGTGTTAGACTCTGAGGGACTGGGTTGCTGTAGAGAGCGACTCCAGTGATGTCTTGAGGAGGCCGGACTGCCATCGCATGATGGATATGACGGCTGAGAAACTACAATCCATGGGAGGGAAGGTGGAACTAGTGGACATCGGCGTACAAGAGGTCAGTTTTCTGGAATGTGGTCAACTTAATGAGTATGTTATAGGATCTTTTAGTTTGCTTTTAACTTAGTCTTTAGAGTCCTTTAGTATCAGATCAGACTGGTTTGCAGAAATCAATACTAAAAGTTGGGTGTTGACAGAAATGCTCCCTGCCTTGCAAACTGTATTCAGGTTATTTTCTGCATCTACCATGTCTTTTATCATCATGCTTAGCTGCCTGGTGGCAAGACATTGGCCTTACCCAAGGTTGTGACAGCCCAGTTTGGCAGTGACCCCAGTAAGCAGACAGTCTGTGTGTACGGACATGTGGATGTCCAGCCTGCTAAACTAGAGGACGGCTGGGCCACTGAACCCTACAACCTGACAGACATCAACGGTAGGTTATGGCTTCCAACAGTAGTCTATGGGTTCCAACGGTAGGCCATGGGTTCCAACGGTAGGCCATGGGTTCCAACGGTAGGCTATGGGTTCCAACGGTAGACTATGGGTTCCAATGGTAGACTATGGGTTCCAACAGTAGGCTATGGGTTCCAATGGTAGTCTATGGATTCCAGGCGTTCACAATCACAGCAATCAAATGTATTATAAGGATTTTTTACAGTACTTTACAGTGATCCATTCTATACCCAACACACATAAACATCTATCTATAACTAACAGCCATTAGATATTATAGCTAATGTGAAGGAAAGAAGCAAGTACTTGGGTGTGGGATGATTTTTACCATGCGTATTTTGAACCAATGAAATGTAACTGGTGTAATTGATACATGCATATTAAATGTCAATGTGAGGTGAAGAATGGACATGTATCTGAAAATAATGACTTTGAGTCTACCCCTAAGGAAACCTCTACGGCAGAGGGGCGTCTGACAACAAGGCCCCTGTCTTAGCCTGGATCCATACAGTGGAGGTCTACCAGGCCCTCAGCATTGTGAGTTTCCAGTAAGAAAAGATATCAGAGTGAACTCATAGGAGATGTAGAGACATAAGACATGTGGTGAAACAAGTTGAGTTGCAGTCTAACTGACCATTATTAGCGAGCCACCCTTTGTTATAACAATTCTTATTTTTTCCCCTCCTCCTGTCCACCCCCTGCCCTCTCCCCATGCAGGACCTGCCAGTCAATGTGAAGTTCATCATCGAGGGGATGGAGGAGACCGGGTCCAATGGCCTGGACGCCATGATCGTGGCGCAGAGAGACACGTTCTTCTCCGATGTCGATTACATCATCATCTCGGACTGTGGTTGGCTGAGCCGACGCCCCGCCCTCACCTACGGGACCAGGGGGAACTGCTACTTCTTTGCTGAGGTAGGATGGGCTGGGGGCATTGCCAATTCTGTGGGAATTTCCAAGGAAACTCCTTTACTTTTTCAAGATCATTAATGAATAGCCATGGTGACTTTGTATGTTTGGTAGGTAGAGGGCCCCAAACAGGACCTACACTCAGGGGTGTATGGAGGCACTGTTATAGAGCCTATGACAGATCTGATCGGCATATTGGGTGAGTTTTTAACCTCTATGAATGACAGAATGTAATACTATCTTAACACCAAATGTATAGCTATCTCAGGCTCATGTTTGCATGAAAAGCTGCCGTCCGTGTGTCTGTGTGAGCTCTCTGTTGGCACAAATAATAAAGAATTTGATATTCCTACAAATGTGTGTCCATAAGGACTGCTTGTGTGTTGACCTATGTTGTTTTCCTATCCTCCATCTCTTCCCCACAGACACACTGATCAGCCCCAGTGGAAAGATCCTCATCCCAGGCATCAGAGAGGCCGTCGCCCCACTCTCAGACGAAGAGTGGAAGATGTACCAGGACATTGACTTTGACATTGAGAGCTATAAGTCCAAGATCGGCGTCAGCCAACTCATGTACAGCAACAAGGTAATGCACAGGGGAGTGGATTTTTTTGGAATGTTTTTTTTTCAGTTTTCTCACTCCTCCTATCTCTGTTTCTCTGTTTGTATATAGCCTGTATGTATATAGTAACACAATATATTTTATTGTGATACTATTTAATTTTTATCGATTTGTACATTTTAGTACTTTTTAACTGCATTGTTAGGAAAGGGCTCGTAAGTAAACATTTCTCGGTAAAGTCTGCACTATTCGGCGCATGTGACAAATAAGATTTGATTTGATTTCTCAGGTAGATCTGCTGGCCCATCGTTGGCGCTACCCTACTGTTACTATCCATGGCATCGAGGGGGCCTTCTCTGGCCCTGGCACCAAGACGGTCATCCCTGCTAAGGTCATTGCCAAGTTCTCCATCCGACAGGTCCCCAACATGGACCCAGCAGTGGTCAAGAAACAGGTGGGTGGTACACGCCTCTCACCAACTGCATTGTACAGTTGCATGACAACACAATTACATGCAGTTACACACAGTTACACAAACATTTCTGGAATTGTTCTAACCTTCAGACTCTCTTTATACAATACATCCAAGAAAAGGGAACATTGATCCAGGTTGTTACACTATTATAATGTCCCTCATTCTGCTCATTCAGTTAATTTACTATTCAGTTATTCACTATTTCAGTTTGGTTTCAGTTAATGAAATAGACGTGAAGACTGCATGTATGCCTGTTACGTATTTGTTCTATTGCAGGTCACAGACTACCTGAACTCTGTGTTTGCCAAGAGAAAGAGCCCCAACAAGCTGAAGGTGACCATGATCATCGGGGCTAAGCCCTGGTTAGCAGACACCAAGCACCCCCTGTACGAGGCAGGGAAAGCAGCCGTGAAGAGAGGTACACTTAGTCAACTCTGTTCTGGACAAACCTTCATGTTCAGAGGACCTTTCTTATGCTGTCTGTGTGTGTGTTTGTATGAACAGTGGTCATAGGGGTAATGATTACCGTATAGTAGCTGACTGGACATGTATTGCACAACAGCAGCTTCACAGTGATAGGCCTATCTGTAGTCGTTAGAGTTGTTAAGTTACCAGACATAGATAGATATCCTTATCACTAAAAGAAGCCAGTGTGCTGTGGTTGTACTGTAGACCTATCAGTGGTTAAGGCATGACAGTGCAGCGATATTGTAATGTTTGTGTAGCAGAAGGGATTTGGAATCACAATATCGCGAAGAGGTAGCCCTGTCTGAGACTTGTATGCCCAAATAACACCCTTGGACCTTGCAGATGTACTCTTGGTCTAAAGGTTAAGGCATTGACTTGGTGAGCAGGAGACCTAGCTTCTAATCCCACTGGTTACATTTGGTTTTCCTCTACTGCAGGTACAATGCATTATGACGCAGTCAGACTTGTCATTGTTTTCCTCTAGTGTTTAACGTGGAGCCAGACCTGATCCGTGAAGGGGGAACCATTCCCATCGCCAAGACCTTTGAGGATGTGACCGGGAAGAGCATCATCATGATGCCCATCGGAGGCTTCGACGACGGCCTCCACTCCCAGAATGAGAAGATGAGCAGGTTAGCCCTTCAATCTCCTAATACTTTATGTATACATTTTTTAACAATGAACATCTATTGATTTTTACGCATGCATGCACGGACACACACCCACAGATGTATCAACAGTGTCTTATTTCCTTTTAAAGGATTGGTTGAGGACATATTGTTTTCTCTCACCCATTCCTTTCCCAGGTACAACTACATAGAGGGGACCAAGTTGTTCATCGCCTACCTCCATGAAGTGGCCCATCTCAAGAAGAACTGAGAGCACCTCTTTTTTTTCACCACCATTAAAAGACAGTTCTATCATGTTTAGCTTGTATGAGTTCCCGTCAGTGGAGTCAGGCTTTTCTTAGCCTTTTTCCTGATGTTATGTTGTAACTTTTCTTGTTTCTTTCCCTCTAAGCAAAACATTCCAGAAACCATGTGAGTTCTTGGCATCTGATATAGCCTCAACACTCCGCTTCTCTCTCTTGCTCTCTCGCTCTCTCTCTGTATCTTTCTTCCTCCCTCACTTTCCTCCTTTCTCTCTCTCAATGTCTCTCTCTCTCAATTTCTCTCTCTCATTCACACACAAAATATCTACTTGAAACAGCAAATAAAACTGGTTTGACACACTATATGTTTTCTAAATCTTTTATGTTTTCTAAATCTTTTTTTATCTGGGATTCTTTAGAAATAACATTTTCAAGTGTTAACCAATATCCACCACTCCAAGACATAATGAAGTGTTTTCACAATACCACCCCTGAAACCAAGACATAATGAAGTGTTTCACAATACCACCCCTAAATATAAAATCAGCCATAAAAACAAAGAGCAGCAAATATTACAGTTCTCTCTTTTTGTTTGTCACACGGAAACACTATTTTCTTCAGCATTACGGTGAGTCTTTACTATTTTAGCAAAATATGTGTACATGTTTTTCATGGACTTCCTTAATTAAGTGCACTACTAAAGACTTGGTCAGGGAAAACCAGAAGCTGCATGTTCATAGAAGGTGTGATAAAGAAGATGAAGAACGGTGAAATTACATTCAACATAACAGAAAAATGTGTGTGATATTGAACATCAGTATGATTGTGTGATGACCTGAGTGTGTATGCATGCATTATTATGGCATCACCAACTTTAGCTTATGTTATCATCCTTCCCAGTCTCTGTATTAGTTCCGTTAGAAAGTTAAATAGTAATCCCAGTTGAGACAGTGCTAAGTCGTGTGTTGGGTCACACTGCACTCTGATCTTTGATCCTCGAGCCCTGGCAGAGTCCATTCAAGTCAATCAGATACCAGAGACTACCTACAACCATAGAAATTGAATTACTAGAACAGACCAATCCTATTCAAGTCACTGCTCTGTGTTGTTTGGGAATTCTATTTCAATGCCCCCACACTCTCAGGAGGAACATCGAAATCTACACTCACCAAACCAGTAGTTAGAGACAAGCAGAAGCAGGTAGAATGAGCTTGACGCAGATATTGCTAGAATGTACGGTATGGAGTAAGTTATTAATAGCTTCCTGTGGCGTCTTACTATCCTTCACAGATGAAGCCCATTGTTGTTGCGTTGCTCTTACTCCACACATCGGCTTCCTCTTCTTCCACCTCTTCCTCTTCCCCTGGAGCTGCAGGCATGTTGAAACCACTGTTTCAATACATAGATGACCACCAAAATCAGTTTGTTCAGGTGAGGGACGGGCACTTTTATGACGTTCTACTTGGAGTTGGGACTCATACCTACTCGCTGTTACTGAACTGTACAATGACACAAATATACATGTTTATGTGCTGTAGCGAGGTGAATAGAGAGAAACCGAAGCAAAGTAATGAGAGAGATAGAGAATGGGGGGAGTGAGAGAGAGAGCGAGAGGGGGGGGGGGGGGGGGGGGGGGGAGAAATGGGAATGTGGTTTAACACTTTAAAGATAAATACTGTGGTATCTGATTAAGTCATCAAAATGATTCTGAATGTGGGTCAGTGGTGCTGTTGCAGTGTTCTCTGCAAATATTCCTGACCTAGACAGTCTATGGCTGTGTCCAGTTATTATTATACAATCTATGCTATATTCTGACCCTCTCCTGGTTGCTGCCTGACTCAGAGGCTGACGGAGTGGGTTGCTGTCCAGAGTAACTCAGGAGATCACACAAAATGGGGAGAAGTTGAAAGGATCCTGAACATGACAGCAGTGAGGATCCAAGAGATGGGAGGCATAGTGGAGTTAGCAGATGTAGGCACTCATCAGGTAGGCTACAATACACACTCAGTTTGTGTGAAAACACTCACCACCAGTCATACGTATTATTCTCCAGATAATGTCATACAAATGGGAGTAATAATCTGTCTTAAAATACCTTTTAAAAAGCATGTACCTTTCCGGTCTATCACACAAGCTGCCCAGTGGGGAGACTGTGCAGCTTCCACCAGTGATACTGGCTGAGTTTGAGAGGGACCCAAAGAAATCTACTCTCTGTATCTATGGCCATGTGGATGTCCAGCCAGCCAAGATGGCGGACGGCTGGACCACTGACCCCTTCAATCTAACAGAGATCAGAGGTATTGCTGCATGTTACATGCCATGAATGGAGGGGTTTGATGTAGGTCCAAAACAAAAACAGGAGCTGGACAAAAATAAAGTCAATTTTGAGAAAACGTAATGTTTTGCTGGGCCAAAATGGGATCTTTTTAACAAATTAAAGTTTGATTACTTAGAAAAAAGAGGAAAGTCCACTCACTGTTTTGCTGCTCCCATATGGCATCTTTTAATAAACCTTAGATGACATAATCACAACCAGGTTGCCTGCCTGCCATTCATAGGCCAGCTTCAACTAGCTCATGTACCCTGGTATTACAAGTGTGATAATATGAGGATGGTGGTGGCTCAAGGTTTTGGTTCCCTAGGTAACCTGTATGGGCGAGGGGCCACGGACAACAAAGGGCCGGTCCTGGCCTGGCTTCATGCTGTGGAGTCCTACCAGGCCACAAAAAAGGTTAGGATTTGCCCTGAAACAACACAGCTGAAATCTGAATCTGAATCTTTATGTTTCGCTAGCAGTCTCTAGTTAGTTTTCAGACATTCTCTAACCCATTCAGCGTTGCTTTACATAGCAATGGTTATTAAAGGGTTTCTGTAATCTATGTATCATAACCTGAGTGTTTGGGGTAATATGTGAGTCTGAGTATAAAACAATTTATGTGATTGTAGTGGATTGTAGTGGAGTCAAACAGTATATGAATAAGAGAAGAGTGATTTACTGGTAGGATTGCCTGGATCTATTGATTTCAGGAGATACCAGTAAATATAAAACTCATCATTGAGGGTCTGGAGGAGGTGGGCTCATACGGTCTGTTGGAGTTGACCAGGAAGAGAAACGACAGCTTCTTTGCAGATGTGGACTTCATAGTGATCTCTGACAATGTGTGGGCGACCAGAACCCCAGCCCTGACCTACGGAACCAGAGGGAGCAGCTATTTCTTTGTGGAGGTGATGATATAGCTCATTTGATTGGTCAAATTAAAATATGACACACTCTACCAGGGTACCATTTGTTCAGTATCTTTCTCTGTTATGTGTTTTAGGTTGATGGCCCTAAACTGGACCTCCATTCTGGAGTGTACGGGGGTTCTATCCAGGAGCCCATGTCAGATCTGATAGCCTTACTGGGTGAGATACAGAGGCGTTTGACTGACAGCTCTTCCAATCCTCAAGAAGATATAGGCTCTACTCTCTTGTCTGATAGTAAAAATTAACATTTCATTCCATTATAGTTCAGGTCAGAAGTCCCTGCACCAAGCAAGAAATTAAGATAACGTTGTATATGAGCTAAGGTGCTTACCCAAACTCAGTTCTAGTGAAAACATGTTTGATCCAAAAATGTCTTCATTATTTCTTATTCCTCCCAAGCAGGAAGTCTGTTGGACCACACAGGTAAGATCTTAGTTCCTGGGGTCACTGATGATGTCGCGCCCCTCACTGAGGATGAGAGGAAGCTCTATGACAATATCAGCTTTGACCTGGAGGAGATGAAGAGGGTGGCTGGGGTCAAACACTTCCTACAGGACACTAAGGTACTGGGTACTGGTGCAACCCTTTAGGAATGACAGGTGCAACTGTGACTCAGGTTTGGCTTGGTTGAGAGGACTAGCCTAGCCCCAGGCTGTTTCTGCTGTCTTACCAATTATGGTCATTGTCATGCCAAACATAACAACCATTGGAGTTGGCTATACTAAACTAATCTGGGCGTGAGGAGGAAGACGTGTTTGGTCAGTGGATACTGTAGAAGTCGCTGTTTGACAGAGGGTGATTACTCTTTTTTGGATACACACTATCTGAGCTATATAACATGATACAAACAAACAGTGTTCATTAATATGCAGGAGGATGTCCTCATGGCTCGATGGCGCTACCCATCCCTGTCCATCCATGGGATCCAGGGGGCCTTCTCAGATCCAGGCACCAAAACTGTCATCCCCAAACAGGTCACAGGGAAGTTCTCCATCCGACAGGTCCCCAACATGGACCCTCCAGATGTGGAAAGGAAGGTACAGAGTGTCTACCTGTCATGGTTTGAATTACAGGGGTACCAGGGTTGTTGGGACAGGAGCATACCCACAACAAACACTTTAAGGATCAAAATACAAGCATGGACACCCTCGTAACCCCTGTAACCAGTGAGTGAGTAGTAAGTGACTATAAGTTGCTCTGGATAAGAGCGTCTTCTAAATGACCAAAATGTAAATATATTAGTCTCTGAGTAAGTGTACAGTATAGAAACGGTGGCCCACTCGATCTTGGTCACTCCAAGAGTCAATGTGTATATTTAAAACCCTGAGACGAATGCTTACTTAACCACCCTCTCCAAGCCTCCATGCCCAACTCTCCCCTGTTACAATGCCATGTTTCACAGGTGAAGGAGCACCTTCAGCAGGTCTTCTCCACTCTAAACAGCCATAACAGGCTGAGGGTGACTGCAACTGTTGGGGCTAAACCATGGGTGGCTAACCTGAAGGACCCACAATACATTGCCGGACAAAGAGCGGTCAGAGAGGGTCAGTTGTAGAGGCCATTTACATAACCGCTCTCATTTGAAACCATGTCTAACTTTATTGTTTAAGTTAAGACGTGGTTTACCCTTGTGTTAGTGTTTGGAGTGGACCCGGAGCTGATCCGTGAGGGCTCCACCATCCCTATCGCTCAGAACTTCCAGGAGGAGACAGGCAAGAGTGTGATGATGCTGCCCATAGGTGGCCATGACGACGGAGAGCACTCTCAGAATGAGAAGATCAGCAGGTAAGAGGAGATGAGAAAAATAAGAGATACGATTCCAGACCTGTTTTCACCCCTAAATTCGTTTTTTAGTTTGTACACTGCAAATAAATCATGACAAACATCAACACAGATGTAGTTCAGCTCTTGTTCAGTAAAATACTGAATCCTGTTTTTCTCTCTCAGGTACAACTACATTGAAGGGACGAAGCTGTTTGCGGCTTATTTTTATGAGCTCTCACTACTACAGTAGATGCAGGATATATTTCCATCCAAACTGTGACCATGATAATTATACTGTAGGTGACAGTATTGAGCTAATTGAGTGCCTGGCTGATCCCATGCCGTGACTCAACTCTCCCAGGGTGTCTCAGGGGGAGTGGGATATGAAAAAAACACATTTCCATTTCACCACACAATGAATAGGTTACACACTTGTACATGTGTGAAACAGGACAAATATAAGCACCCCTATTTGACCTTTGAAGTTGTATTATTATACAGCCCGTATGAGGGTTATTACTTACCATAAGAACAACATTTTAGCACCCTCAAGAATAACTATTTCTACCATTTGTATTTCATGAATGTATTCTACTGTGTATTAACTAATAAAAGACAAATGTGGCATGTCTTGTGAATTCAATGTGTTGATGTTGAAGGAGTGGCTAACAGGAGACAGTCAATCAATCAATTTCTCTCTGAAATGTTACGCTTAAACATTGTGACTCAATAAACACTTAAGTGTTACTCAAGTGTTAAAAGACCCACGTGTTGAAAAAAACCTTGGGTATTGTGAGAACGTTTCAGGAAAAGAGGTGTCAGCACACTTGTGTCTTTCACCTTTAGCTGGAGGCAAGTGTGTCAGTCAGTGTGGATGTCTCTCAAAGAGAGTGGGCTGGGCTGGGAGGGGGAGGGGTTTTTAGGGAAATTTGGGGAAGAAAAGGGGGGGTTTTTGGGTTAAAATCCCAGTCAGTCTGCAAGGGGAAAGGGGGAGAAGGAGAGAGAGAAAGGAGAAAGGAAAGGGGAAAAGGGGAGGAAGGGAGAGAAGAAGAGAGAGGGGGGGAAAAAGGGAAGGGGAAAAAAAAGGGGAGGAGAGGGGGAAGGGAAAAGGGGGTTCCCTTCCAAAAACCCCCAGGGTTTTATGGGAAAAAGGGGGAAGGGGGAAAAGGGGGTTGGGGGGGAATTAAAAATTCGGGGGAAAGGAAAAGGAAGGGGGAAAAAGATGCCGAAGAAGGGGGGGCAAGGGGAGAGATTTAAGGGAGGGGGGGAGGGGACGGGAAAAAACAAAAAAAGGGGGGGGGGGGAAAGGGGGGGGGAGGGAAAAGGGGGGGGAAAAAAAAGGGGGGGAAAGGGGAAAGGGAGGGGGGGGGAGCCCCAAAATTTGGGGGGGGGACATTGCTTACAAGGAAACCAATAAACCCCCTAGTGTATTTAATGTTGGCCACGTTTAACAACGTTTTTGGAAATTTTTAGGGGGGGGTTCCCTTTTCATTCCTCTTAGCTGGATTGGTACATTGGACTCAAAACTTAAGTGATCATCTTGCTGAAAATTGGTGGCCAAAGGGTTGGTTCTTTCGACCTGTCCTCATTTTCTGGAGAGGGTTTAGTGGGGGAAAGAAGGGGGGGGGGGAGGGGTGAGGGAGGAAGACGGGGGGCTTATGAGGACGTCACGGGATGTGGAGCGACTTTAGGGTGTGAAAAGGGGAGCAGAGAGACCAGATGAAGACAGACCGAGAGGAGTTGTAGTGGAGGAGTGGGAGCAGAGTGAGAGAGAGGGAGAGAGAAGAGAGGAGCAGAGAACAGGAGAGAGGGGAGAGAGAGAGCGGAGAGGAGAAAAGGGGAGGAGAGGGAGGAGGGGAGGAGAGAGAGAGAGGGGAGGAGAGAGAGAGGAGAGGGAGGAAGGAGGAGGCAGTGAGAGGAGGGAGAGAGAGAGGAGGCAGTGAGAGGAAGGGAGAGGAAGGGAGAGGGAGAGAGAGAAAGAGAGAGACGGAGGCAGTGAGAGGAAGGGAGAGAGAGAGAGACGGAGGCAGTGAGAGAGAGAGAGAGAGACAGAGAGAGGAAGAGAGAGAGACAGAGGCAGTGAGAGAGAGAGAGGGAGAGAGAGACAGACATACACAGTCAGGGAGAGAGAGGGAGAGTGTGAGAGCAACTGCAAAGGAGAGACACCGAAATTGAGAATTGGACAGTACCAACAGAGAGACGTGATGGAACCCATGGGTGATGTTCTCCATCTTTTAGTCATCCTGTCCTTTTTGGAGACAGGCAATGCCAAAGTGAGAGACTTCAAAGCAGCAGGAGCTACAGCACCAGGAGATATCATCATTGGAGGGCTGTTTTCCATCCATGAGGGAGTAGAGGAATCCCTGAACCTCTCAGCACCCCATGCATCACAGTGTGTCAGGTAGGGTAAGTGCCAAGATAAGATTGGGTGTTGTAAAGAGATTTTGAAAGAGTCTGTCTGTCTGTCTGTCTGTCTGTCTGTCTGTCTGTCTGTCTGTCTGTCTGTCTGTCTGTCTGTCTCTCTCTCTCTCTCTCTCTCTCTCTCTCCCCTCCAATTATCTCTCTCTCTCTCTCTCTCTCTCTCTTTCTCTCTCACCCCTCCAATTATCTCTCTCTCTCTCTCTCTCTGTCTCTCTCACCTCCTCCAATTCTCTCTCTCTCTCTCTCTCTCTCTCTCTCTCTCTCTCTCTCTCTCTCTCTCTCTCTCTCTCTCTCTCTCTTCCATTTCAATCTAAGGGCTTTATTGGCATGGGAAACATATGTTAACATTGCCAAAGCAAGTGAAGTAGATAGTAAACAAAAGTGAAATAAACAATAAAAAAAAAAAAAAAAAAAACATTACACTCAGAAGTTCCAAAAGAACAAAGACATTTCAAATGTCATATTATGTATATATACAGTGTTGTAACAATGTGCAAATAGTTAAAGTACAAATGGGAAAATAAATAAACATAAATATGGGTTGTATTTACAATGGTGTTTGTTCTTCACTGGTTGCCCTTTTCTTGTGGCAACAGGTCACAAATATTGCTGCTGTGATGGCGCACTGTGGTATTTCACCCAGTAGAAATGGGATTTTATCAAAATTGGGTATGTTTTCGAATTCTTTGTGGATCTGTGTAATCTGAGGGAAATATGTGTCTCTAATATGGTCATACATTTGGCATGAGGTTAGGAAGTGGAGCTCAGTTTCCACCTCATTTTGCGTGCAGTGTGCACATAGCCTGTCTTCTCTTGAGAGCCAGGTCTGCCTACGGCAGCCTTTCTCAATAGCAAGGCCATGCTCACTGAGTCTGTACATAGTCAAAGATTTCCTTAAGTTTAGGTCAGTCACAGTGGTCAGGTATTCTGCCACTGTGTACTCTCTGTTTAGGGCCAAATAGCATTCTATATTGCTCAGTTGTTTTGTTAATTCTTTCCAATGTGTGAAGTAATTCTCTTTCTGTTTTCTCTTGATTTGGTTGGGTCTAAATGTGTTGTTGTCCTGGGGCTCTGTGGGGTCTGTTTGTGTTTGTGAACAGAGCCCCAGGACCAGCTTGCTTAGGGGACTCTTCTCCAGGTTCATCTCTCTGTAGGTGATGGCTTTGTTATGGAAGGTTTGGGAATCGCTTCCTTTTAAGTGGTTATAGAATTTCATGGCTCTTTTCTGGATTTGGAAAATTAGCGGGTATCGGCCTAATTCTGCTCTGCATGCATTATTTGGTGTTTTTCGTTCTACACTGAGGATATGTTTTGCAGAATTCTGCATGCAGAGTCTCAATTTGGTGTTTGTCCCATTTTGTGAATTCTTGGTTGGTGAGCGGACCCCAGACCTCACAACCATAAACGGCAATGGGTTCTATAACTGATTGAAGTATTTTTAGCCAGATCCTAATTGGTATGTCGAATGTTATGTTCCTTTTGATAGCATATAAGGCCCTTCTTGCCTTGTCTCTCAGATCGTTCACAGCTTTGTGGAAGTTACCTATGGCGCTGATGTTTAGGCCAAGGTATTTATAGTTTTTTGTGTGCTCTAGTGCAACGGTGTCTAGATGGAATTTGTATTTGTGGTCCTGGCAACTGGACCTTTTTGGAACACCATTATTTTTGTCTTACTGAGATTTACTGTCAGGGCCCAGGTCTGAACGAATCTGTGGAGAAGATCTAGGTGCTGCTGTAGGCCCTCCTTGATTGGTGACAGAAGCACCTGATCATCAGCAAACAGTAGACATTTGACTTCAGATTCTAGTAGGGTGAGGCCGGATGCTGCAGACTGTTCTAGTGCCCTCACCAATTTGTTGATACAGTGGGGAGAACAAGTATTTGATACACTGCCGATTTAGCAGGTTTTCCTACTTACAAAGCATGTAAAGGTCTGTAATTTTTATCAAAGGTACACTTCAACTGTGAGAGACGGAATCTAAAACAAAAATCCAGAAAATCACATTGTATGATTTTTAAGTAATTAATTTGCATTTTATTGCATGACATAAGTATTTGATCACCTACCAACCAGTAATAATTCTGGCTCTCACAGACCTGTTAGTTTTTCTTTAAGAAGCCCTCCTGTTCTCCACTCATTACCTGTATTAACTGCACCTGTTTGAACTCATTACCTGTATAAAAGACACCTGTCCACACACTCAATCAAACAGACTCCAACCTCTCCACAATGGCCAAGACCAGAGAGCTGTGTAAGGACATCAGGGATAAAATTGTAGACCTGCACAAGGCTGGGATGGGCTACAGGACAATAGGCAAGCAGCTTGGTGAGAAGGCAACAACTGTTGGCGCAATTATTAGAAAATGGAAGAAGTTCAAGATGGCGGTCAATCACCCTCGGTCTGGGGCTCCATGCAAGATCTCACCATTAGTAACACACTACGCCGTCATGGATTAAAATCCTGCAGCACACGCAAGGTCTCCCTGCTCAAGCCAGGCCTGTCTGAAGTTTGCCAATGACCATCTGGATGATCAGGGGAGGAATGGGAGAAGGTCATGTGGTCTGATGAGACAAAAATATAGCTTTTTGGTCTAAACTCCACTCGCCGTGTTTGGAGGAAGAAGAAGGATGAGTACAACCCCAAGAACACCATCCCAACCGTGAAGCATGGAGGTGGAAACATCATTCTTTGGGGATGCTTTTCTGCAAAGGGGACAGGATGACTGCACCGTATTGAGGGGAGGATGTATCGCGAGATCTTGGCCAACAACCTCCTTCCCTCAGTAAGAGCATTGAAGATGGGTCGTGGCTGGGTCTTCCAGCATGACAACGACCCGAAACACACAGCCAGGGCAACTAAGGAGTGGCTCCGTAAGAAGCATCTCAAGGTCCTGGAGTGGCCTAGCCAGTCTCCAGACCTGAACCCAATAGAAAATCTTTGGAGGGAGCTGAAAGTCCGTATTGCCCAGCGACAGCCCCGAAACCTGAAGGATCTGGAGAAGGTCTGTATGGAGGAGTGGGCCAAAATCCCTGCTGCAGTGTGTGCAAACCTGGTCAAGACCTACAGGAAACGTATGATCTCTGTAATTGCAAACAAAGGTTTCTGTACCAAATATTAAGTTCTGCTTTTCTGATGTATAAAATACTTATGTCATGCAATAAAATGCAAATTAATTACTTAAAAACCATACAATGTGATTTTTCTCTCACAGTTGAAGTGTACCTATGATAAAAATTACAGACCTCTACATGCTTTGTAAGTAGGAAACCTGCAAAATCATCAGTGTATCAAATACTTGTTTGAGTCCCCTCAAAGCCTACCATTGACTATGTACATACCCAGCTTGCGACAGAGCTGCAGGAGTTGTGACCCGTTTTTGTTGGTTATGTTGTCGTAGGGGGGCATATGGGGGAGGAAAGGCTGTCATGTCTAGGTAGGTGTTTGTCCCCCCTGTGTGCTGAGGATGTAAGGCTCTTGTCCAGTTCTGGCATTTAGGTCGCCACAGACTAGTACATGTCCCTGGGCCTGGAAATGATTGATTTCCCCCTCCAGGATGGAGAAGCTGTCTTCATTAAAATATGGGGATTCTAGTGGGGGGATATAGGTAGCACACAGGAGGACATTTTTCTCTGTTGAGATAATTTCCTTTTGAATTTCTAGCCAAATGTAAAATGTTCCTGTTTTGATTAATTTAATAGAGTAAGTTAGGTCTGCTCTATACCAAATTAGCATACACCCTGAGTACACCCATACATCCTGCTCTTTAGGCCAAAGGCCGGTGACCTCAGGCCTGGGATATTCCAGGATGAGACTCTCTCTCTCGCTCTCTCTCTCTTTCGCTCTCTCTCTAATGTATGACTAAGTGTTCGTGAGAGAGAGTTGATTTACTCTGAAAGGTGATGATCAAACCATGCCTTATGTACCTTGAACAAACACACACACTCAAATGCACACAAACACAGGTTCAACACGGATGGGTTCACCCAGGCATTGGCTATGATCCACGCTATAGAGTCGGCCAACAGATCCCCTGTCCTGACTACACTAGGGATCTCTCTGGGGTACCGTATCCACGACTCCTGCTCTGATGTCACCACCGCTCTGAGGGCCTCAGCTGACTTCACACAGGTAAAAGCTCTTTAGCCAAAACGTTGGTCAAATCAATCCACAGCAAGGATAGACGACTGTGTGACCTCTTTTTGATTTGTATAGTTTATCTTCCATTAGCCAGTATCTCATATAAAGGGTGTACATTCTTTACTTCACACAGGAGCCAACCACTGACTGTGTGGGAGGGGCCAACACCTCTACCTGTCTCCCGCCCATCATGGCCGTCATAGGGGCCTCTTCCTCTGAGATTTCCATCTCCGTTGCCCAGCAACTCAACCTGGAGCTCATTCCTCAGGTAAGCAGTCAAAACCCACCCACAGAGTGACGATTGATGGACAGTAACAAAAGGGTTGATAAAATAATGAATAACCGAGTTGTGTCAAAAAAATGACAGACAGCAATGATGATACAGATAAATGACAAAATCACTTCAACATAGGACCACCGGAAACCGTGTGGCCAGGCAGCATTTTTCTGTCCATCACATCGGAGTGCTGCTGTACACTCTTTGCGTGTCTTGACTAATCAGATTCACGGAAATTGCAGGTCGCGCGGGCAGGGCACAAAGCTCAAGGTGTTTTTTAAAACCATCGGTCCTGATTAGAAAAACTCTGGTCCCATCATAGCCCATATTAAATATTTTTAGAACAGATAAATCACGTCATACCGTGTAAGGTCCTGAGTTTTACCTGGTTAGGTTACTTCTGATCCAACATAACCTTATCTATTTGAATCATCACAGATCAGTTACGCCTCCACCGCCATCATCCTGAGTGACAAGATCCGTTTCCCCGCGTTCCTGAGGACCGTGCCTAGCGACCTGTACCAGACGCGTGCCATGGTCCGGTTGCTTAGCGACCACAAATGGACCTGGGTGGGCATGGTCACCACAGATGGAGACTACGGCCGCTCAGCCCTGGAGAGCTTTGTCTCCCAGGCAACCGCCTCAGGGATCTGTGTGGCTTTCAAGGAGATCCTTCCTGATTCGCTGACCAGCCCTGACATCATCTCAGCCGTCATAAATGCCAGCAACACCATCCGCAGCAACCCCAAGGTCAAGGTGGTGGTGTCATTCGCCAAGCCTACTCACATGACGTACCTGTACCGGGAGCTGAGGGGTCAGGGGCTGGGGTCGGGGCTGGGGGAGAGGGTGTGGGTGGCCAGTGACAGCTGGTCCTCGTCCAAAGAGGTCCTGGGAAAGATGGACCTCCCAGATATCGGCCATGTGGTGGGTTTCACCTTCAAAAGAGGGGACCTGGCTCCTTTCCATCACTACCTGATGAATCTGAGTGACAGCAATGATGTCATAGGAAACAACTCCTTCCTAAAGGAGTTCTACTCCCTGCCAAACAGGTCGGGAGACCCCGGGGTTGTGTCCTCCTCCACATCCGCAGCAGAGATCCTGCTAAACAACAGCCATGCAGACATAGTCTTCAGTGTGGAGATGGCTGTCAGTGCCATCGCCCATGCAGTGGCTGATATCTGCAGCAAAAAGGACTGCAAGACAGCAGGCACTGTCCAACCCTGGAAGGTAGCTACTGCACAACTCCTCATGTCTACAGCACATCAAACTGAACTTATATACTGTGTGTCATCTAATATATCTAATGTATTTGGGATATGGCTTTGGTCTACGATATGTGAACGAACTTGCATTTTCATTTGTTTCAGGTGCTTCAAGCCCTGAGGGGAAGTCGGTTTGAGCTGGAGGGGAAAAGCTATACGTTTGACCAGAAAGGGGACATCAACCTGGGCTATGATGTAACCGTGTGGAGGTCTGTGAGAGGGGTCATCAACATCAATGACGTTGTGGCTGAGTACCATCCAATCAACAACAGCTTCAGCTACACCAGCAGACACACCAAAAATATCACTGACCTGAGGGTAAGGGTTAGGGTTAGGTTGAGGCAGTGGCGGCTCCTGAAAAAATTCTCAGGAGGGGCAATTTTTCTGATGATTTAGGTGACCTACACACATTTAAAAAAAGATATGTCCAGCAACAACATGAAGACAGGGGCAGCATATAAGTCAATACCAGAAGCATTTATTGACTGATCTCAAAAGTGTTGGCTTACCAGGGTTGGTGGAGCCCTCAGTTTCATCTTTGCCTCGCAAAGCTAACTCAAACACTCCGCAAAACTTCACACACTGGATTAGCCGGCTGAGGATGTGGCGGTTCTTGCTAATGTCGTAGTAAATATATTTGTTATAGTGAATATGGAATATGATATGTTGAGTAAAATGTTGTGCTAAGATCTATTTAGGTCAGGAGCTGGTTATAAGTTCTGTTCCTATCCAATAACAATGGACAAAAGGGTCCTATCTTGTCAGCCTTGTCAGCAGGTGGCCAAGGACAACACCCACGCCATAGGCCTCTCAGTTCTTCCAACTCACGAGTTCTTGCTCTGAGGACACACACACACACAAACACACACACACACACATCATCACTGTTAAACACACACACACACACACACACACACATCATCACTGTTAAACACACACACACACACACACACACAAAAATCCCCTCTATTAGGCTGAACATTTGAAGACAGAGAACCCGACTCAGAGCCAATGCAACAGTGACAGTAGCCTGCAGGGGACCTCGCCCAACTCATCAGGACCAATCAGAAGATCAGAACTACTAGATTGAACCTACTTCATTTATTGCATAAAATGTCTGCACACAATGTTTCGGGGCTCTCTTCAGATAATAATAATAATAATAATAATAATAATAATAATATGCCATTTAGCAGACGCTTTTATCCAAAGCGACTTACAGTCATGCGTGCATACATTTTTGTGTATGGGTGGTCCCGGGGATCGAACCCACTACCTTGGCGTTACAAGCACCATGCTCTACCAGCTGAGCTACAGAAAGTGGATACTCATGGATGCGCATTGCAATTGTAAAATGTCAACACAATTGGAGACACCACGTCATTTTTGGAGACATGTTATTGACAGTAAACTATTGTAGATGCGACTGCTAACTAACTAAAACATTTTAGCTGGCTAGCTAATCATCTTAGCTAAATGTGGGGCAAACAATTCAGTTATTTACCGTTAATTTGAGGGATTGGGGTGAAAGAAATCGAGTTACATAGTGATACTTTACGATATACTGTATTGACAATATCGCAATATTTTAGCGCTAGTTGGCTGTACCTGCACCAAAACACCATTATTGTTCCTTCATAGCTTGTTCTCAATCTTTTCACATTGGGAGCCAATTTGTTTTCAGCACTTTTATTTCCATGACTGATCAAAACTCGTTCTCATGGCTTTCTGATCCCTCTGCAACAGACATATGGTGCGCAATAAAATCACAGTATCGAATCGCAATACGTATAGAATCATGAGACTCGCAATGCTGATGCATATATCTTATCGTGAGGTTCCTGGCAATTCCCAGCCCAAGTTCATTTGCCACAACAAATCTCTTCGCTAGCAAACGCGATGTCTTCTCCAAAACGGCAATGTGTCTCCAGCAATGTTTACTTTTTTGACGTTCTATGGCATCTCCACTTTCCAAGCATATATGACCACATGTAATATTTTGGTAAGTGATGCAAATAGTGAACTATGTAGGGCCAGGATGTAAAATATATGTAGCTGCAGCAATTTCTCTTATCTGATATGGTAAGTAATGGGGCTTAATTTATAGCTCCCTAAGAGTTTGACGAACGGGTCCGTGAACGCGATTCCAGATATATTTACCTCTGAATAAACTGCCTTTATTACACCATATCCACATCCAGTAAACTTGTGATTAGCAACACTAACCTCATCGTTGTGGCGGCGGACAGCTAGCCTGTATCCCTCGTCATCCAGTTGAGTGAGTGGCAATGTCTTTTTTCGTTCGTACCAATTTTTGGAAAATCCTCGGGTGTAGGACTTTCCGCCTTTAGTAGAAACCTGTTGAATTATTAAATTTGGTCTGGGAGGTCCTAATTGTTTCGTTGCCAATTTATCTTCATTTGTTCGCCGACAAAAAGGAACTTCTTTCAAACAATCCACTCTTTTCTCAGTTACGTTCATGGTTACGTAACGTATGCCGAAAGCGCGTAAGTGCAAGCCCACAGACACCCATTGAGATTGTATTGAAGGCTCTGAAATTTGAAAAAAATAGATTTTACATGGGAGTCTATGACAGAAGTTCTGGGCGATTTTCAATCTGACTGAAATCGCCCCAAAAGGGGGTGGAGCCATTTGAAGCACGACTTTAGCCTGATTCGACATTTAGTGGCAGTGTGGCACTGTGGCAGATCAGACGTATAGATTACAACACTGATAACTACTGTTGCCGTGATATAATTGATTAGAAAAAAAATCCCTTCCTTTTCCCGTTTGGCAGTGCGTCGCCCATATCGCCCTATTGAACAGGCCGTCCCTGGGTTGAGGGTTAGGGTTAGGGTTAGGGTGAGGGTTAAGGTTAGGTCTCAATCTATTTTAGTCTGTCTGCTAGGCTGCCACACAAAGGTTCATGTACACATCCACGTTAACCGATTATCACACTTGACATAGAGAGACACAAGCACAAACAGATCGGAAGGTCAAACAATCTACTTTTTCTTCCGCAAAGTGACTAAAGAAAACTAAACATACCTGTTTTAGAGACATCTCTGCAAAACTGGAAAACAAATAGAGATGGAAATTCAATAACCCCTGATCAGTTAAACAATGGGCATTGTTTGAATATGAAAACCAAGTACCTTGGCACACACTGGGTGCACCTGTATCACACATTCATGTTAGATATCAGTGATGCTCTAAAAACAAAAGTAAAAACTGTTGTGTAACAAACACAATACTCAGAAGAATATAATCAGTGGTTGAATAGTTTGTATACGCCTCCCTTACAGAAAAACTACATGATTTCACGTGGAACATCACATGATTTTACATGTGAAATCATGTGAAAATGTGTTTATGGAACACTTCACGTGATTACGTTTTCACATGTGTAGTTTCATGTTATCACGTGTTGCTTTACATGTTGTCACATGGTTTTAAGTCGACAGCTAGGTTTAACTGTGCCCAGGAAACTGGCCATACATGTAAAGGCTTGCTTGAAAACTACAATTAATAGAATTCAGTCACTTCAGTTCTTCTTGGGTCAGCCATTTAAATTAGTGCATTGTTTCCTGATGCAGGATGTGGTGTCTGTGTGCTCAGCAAGCTGTAAGCCTGGGGAGTTCAAGAAGACTGCTGAGGGTCAGCACACCTGCTGCTATGAATGCATCAACTGCACTGAGAACCACTACTCCAACAACACTGGTGAGTTCTCCTGTACTATCTCTCTATACACACCAGTGTACTCTAACTATCATCAGTTCACACAATCTTCCAACACTGTCCTTATCCAACACTGTTAGTACTAGGCAACAACAAATATATTTCTAAATGCTAAACAGTTGTTCAAGCACTATCCTCCCTTCCAACCCTTTGTGTGCCTCTGTCTCCTCTCCAGACATGGACCAGTGTCTGTCTTGTGACACAAAGAGAGAGTGGTCCTTGGAAGGGAGCTCTGGGTGTACCAGTAAGACCCTGGAGTTCTTCTCCTGGCAGGATGGCTTTGCGGTGGTGCTGCTGGCACTGGCGGCCCTGGGCATCATCCTGGTTCTCCTGGTGGGGGCGCTCTTCCTACACCACCACCAGACCCCCGTGGTGAAGGCTGCCGGGGGGCCTCTCTCCCAGCTCATCCTGCTCTCCCTAGTGGGAAGTTTTGTTAGCGCTGTGTTCTTTGTAGGTCATCCCAGCAGCCTCCAGTGTAAGGTATGTACGGTACACACAGTTTGGGAAACACTTCTGTAATGTACTGTCTGTGACATTGATCTGATTGTACCAGTGTCAGTTTGTGAATTCATGGTTTATTGTGTGTGTATTGTTCTGAACCTTTTGTAACTTTGCAGTAAGGAATTTCGTTTGTAGATGCAAAGAAAATGTAAATACAAACAGATAATCAATTTCTGTCTCATTGTCTCATCTCTTCTCATCTTCAAGACGCGTCAGGTGCTGTTTGGCCTCAGCTTCACCCTGTGTGTTTCCTGCATCCTGGTCAAGTCCCTGAAGATCCTGCTGGCCTTCCAGCTCAACCCTGACCTGAAGGACATTCTCCGCCGCCTCTACCAACCCTACGCCATCATTTGTCTCTGTGTGGCCCTTCAGGTTCTCACCTGCACCCTGTGGCTGGTCCTGCAGAGCCCCCGGGAGAAGGCCACCGTCTTCGCCACCACCGTGCTGGCCGAGTGTGACGAGGGCTCCTACGTGGCGTTTGGCGTAATGCTGGGCTACATCGCTGTCCTGGTGCTCGTCTGTTTCGCCTGTGCATTTAAAGGCCGCAAGCTGCCACAGAATTACAATGAGGCCAGGTTCATCACCTTCAGCATGCTCCTCTACCTCATGTCCTGGGTAATGTTCGTGCCCATCTATGTGACCACCTCAGGGAAGTACCTGCCAGCGGTGGAGATGGTGGTCATCCTCATTTCCAACTACGGCGTCCTCAGCTGTCATTTCTTCCCCAAGTGCTACATCATCCTCTTCAAGAAGGAGCACAACACCAAGAGTGCCTTCATGAAGAACGTGCAGGACTTCTCCTTTAAGAGCATTACTGACTCTAGCTCTGTCTCTGAGACTTCAGTCTCTCAGACAGAAGGGAAGTGTACCAGTCACACTTATTCCATCAGTTCACCTTCTTTCTGCATGTCTCCTCCACCAATAGAACCCACAGCACCTCAGAATTTCTGGTCCGTTGGCCAAAACATTCAGAGCATTGACACTGCAACCTATTGCACCATATTTGACCATGGAGTGTTTGTCACAGGTCAGCTGACCCGACCATACCGTCTGAGGAGATGCATGAGCCTATGAGTGGACCACAGTCTGGAACTTTAACTTCTCACGGTACATCACACAGTGTGTCTATGGTTCTCTCATTGGTTTGACTGTTCCCATTTTGCTTAGTCTGCTGGTATGTTTTTTGCCCAAGTGGGTTGTTGATTTGAACATTCAAGGCAATTTGGGTAAGACTTTATTTGACACTGATATGGACAGTGTCATAAACAAGAAAAAACTCAGTCATATGGTGTTATGTTCATCTATCAATATTTGTACTGGTTAAGCATTATTTGTGAACTGCATATGGTGTCGATACTGTGTGAAACATTCTAACTAAACATCATGGGGGATGTTGGTATTTGCTATGGACAAACTGTCATGTTGTGTGTTGGATCCCTGAATAGGCCGTTTCTATGTGTAATGTGTACAGTAACCAGCATTTCTCTCTATTATGGGAGCTGATGCAGCAGGATACATATGAGATATTACATTTCATTTTGAAAACATGTATACGATGAACACTATATGGGAATTTGTGTCACTGTTTCTTAATGCATGCTTGGTTTGTCAGTGGACGTTCTTGAAGTTCTTACATATTTCTAAATACTTTGAAATCTATTTCCACATTATTCATGTATATTATGAACTGTATATATCCACATTACTTAATGTACAGTATATTAAAAGTTTGAATGTGCAGTTGACTTTCAGTTGCTTTTTCCATTCTCTACATACACACCCATTCAAATATTTACCAATTTAAACAGGTGTAACTTCTCTCTCTGTTGACATCTTGACAGCGTATCTGCTTCTTCTCACTGTCTGCTCTGTTTGCAGATCCCACCTGATGAGCACACATAAATCAAATCAAATTACAATTTATTTGTCACATGCGCAGACTACAACAGTTGTAGTCTTTCCCCCTTCTGATAACCAGGTGGCGAATTGCATCTCTGCACGTCTGGCAGACATATCAGTGTGGATGTCGGATCACCACCTCAAGCTGAACCTCGGCAAGGCGGAGCTGCTCTTCCTCCCGGGGAAGGACTGCCCGCTCCATGATCTTGCCATCACGGTTGACAACTCCGTTGTGTCCTCCTCCCAGAGTGCAAAGAACCTTGGCGTGACCCTGGACAACACCCTGTCATTCTCCGCTAACATCAAAGCGGTGACCCGATCCTGTAGGTTCATGCTCTACAACATTCGCAGAGTACGACCCTACCTTACACAGGAAGTGGCACAGGTCCTAATCCAGGCACTTGTCATCTCCCGTCTGGATTACTGCAACTCGCTGTTGGCTGGGCTCCCTGCCTGTGCCATTAAACCCCTACAACTCATCCAGAACGCTGCAGCCCGTCTGGTGTTCAACCTTCCCAAGTTCTCTCACGTCACCCCGCTCCTCCGCACACTCCACTGGCTTCCAGTTGAAGCTCGCATCTGCTACAAGACCATGGTGCTTGCCTACGGAGCTGTGAGGGGAACGGCACCTCCTTACCTTCAGGCTCTGATCAGTCCCTACACCCAAACGAGGGCATTGTGTTCTTCCACCTCTGGCCTGCTGGTCCCCCTACCTCTGCGGAAGCACAGTTCCCGCTCAGCCCAGTCAAAACTGTTCGCTGCTCTGGCACCCCAATGGTGGAACAAGTTCCCTCATGACGCCAGGACAGCGGAGTCACTGACCACCTTCCGGAGACACTTGAAACCCTACCTCTTTAAGGAATACCTGGGATAGTATAAAAGTAATCCTTCTACCCCCCCCCCCCCCCCCCCAAAAAAAAAACAACACACATATAATACAATGAACATTAAAAATATACTCTACAAATAAAAATTCCAAATAAAATAAATAAAAATGTGTAAAGTGGTTGTCCCACTGGCTATCATAAGGTGAATGCACCAGTTTGTAAGTCGCGCTGGATAAGAGCGTCTGCTAAATGACGGAAATGTAATGTAAATGTGTAGACCTTACAGTGAAACGCTTACTTACAAGCTCTTAACCAACAATGCAGTTAAGAAAAATAAGTGTTAAGTAAAAAATAGATAAGTAAAAAAAAAACTAAAAAACAACTTTAAAAAAATAATAATAATTAAAGAGCAGCAGTAAAATAACATTAGCAAGGCTACATACAGGGGGTACCGGTACAGAGTCAATGTGCAGGGGCAGGCTCGTGTCACTGGGCAGCTCGCGGCTGTGCTTCCCTTTGTAGTCTGTAAGAGTATGCAAGCCCTGCCACATCTGACGAGCGTCGGAGCCGGTGTAGTATTATTCAATCTTTGCCTGTTTGATGGTTCGTCGGATGGCATAGCGGGATTTCTTATAAGTGTCTGGGTTAGAGTTCCGCTCCTTGAAAGTGGCAGCTCTACCCTTTAGCTCAGTGCGGATGTTGCCTGTAATCCATGGCTTCTGGTTGGGGAATGTACGTACGGTCACTGTGGGGACAACGTCATCAATGCACTTATTGATGATGCCAGTGACTGATGTGGTGTACTCATCAATGCCATCGGAAGAATCCCGGAACATATTCCAGTCTGTGCTAACAAAACAGTCCTGTAGCTTAGCATCTGCATCATCTGACCACTTCTTTATTGACCGAGTCACTGGTGCTTCCTGCTTTAGATTTTGCTTGTAAGCAGGAATCAGAAGGATAGAATTATGGTCACATTTGCCAAATGGAGGGTGAGGGAGAGCTTTGTTCGCATCACTGTGTGTGGAGTAAAGGTGGTCTAGAGGTTTCTTTCCTCTGGTTGCACATTTAAGAAATTAGGTAAAATGGATTTAAGTTTCCTTGCATTAAAGTCCACGGCTACTAGGAGCGCCGCCTCTGGATGAGCGTTTTCTTGATTGCTTATGGCCTTATACAGCACATTTAATGCAGTCTTAGTGGCAGCATCGGTTTGTGGTGGGAAATAAACAGCTACGAAAAATATAGATGAAAACTCTCTTGGTAAATAGTGTTGTCTACAGTTTATCATGAGAGACTCTACCTCAGGCGAGCAAAACCTTGAGACTTCGTTAATATTAGATTTCGTGCACCAGCTGTTTACAAATATACACAGACCGCCACCCCTTGTCTTACCGGAGGCAGCTGTTCTATCTTGCCGATGCACCGAAAACCCCGCCAGCTGTATGTTATCCATGTCGTCATTCAGCCACGACTCGGTGAAACATAAGATATTACAGTTTTTAATGTCCCGTTGGTAGGATATTCTTGATCGTAGCTCGTCCATTTTGTTGTCCAATGATTATACCTTGGCTAATAGGACTGACGGTAGAGGCAGATTACTCACTCGCCATCGGATCCCCGACCTACGTCCCCGATATCCCCATCTCTACTTCATGCGAATGACGGGAATTTGGGCCTTGTCGGGTGTCTGAAGTAAATCCTTCGCATCCGACTCGAGGTGAGTAATCGCTGTCCTGATATCCAGAAGCTCTTTTCGGTCATCAGAGATGGTGGCAGACACATTATGTACAAAATAAGTTACAAATAACGCAAAAAAACACACACAATAGCACAATTGTTTTGGAGCCGGCGCCATTCTTCTTCTATGCTGTTTATTTAGGCTGCAGGCCTAATGCCACAGTGACATGGGAAGAAAGAGAGAGTGAAAGTTCTGCTGGCATTTTCCTAGTGCCCAAACACATGTGCTTTTAATAACTGTATGAACACTGAGCTCTTCCCTCCATAGTCTGGAGCCCTGTCCTTCAAAGCTCAAATATCCTGGGCTCTACAGTAGTAGAATATATCATGAATGAACTCTGGGCTACTGCTATGTTGCTAAACAGTAGTCTCAGAAACCTGACCCTAGGCAAAAGCAGAGACTAGGGTCTGGTTTCAATGACAAACTCTTTTGGCAACTTCGATAAGGTGAAAAAAATTCAGACAGAGAACTCTCTTAACAAATCACGAGGAAGACATGCCAGAACGCGGCGATTCGAAACCAAAGCTTGCAGGCAAAACCTTTGCAGTGGTTTTAGTGAAAGTAGTTGGTCCAAACTTGCAAAATGCACATGTCAAAAACAACCTCTGTGATCTCCATCTTGCTAGCTACTATTTTGGAATTTATTCAAGCGGATAAGGTAGTGACGTAGGTCCTCTATGTCAAAAGATTCCGTTACTGAAACTAGACCCTAGTCACTGCTGTTGCCTAGGGTCGGGTTTTCGAGACTAGATGAACAGCATCTCTGCTCTATGTCGCTATGTCTTTGTGGTAAAAGAGCAGTTTGTAGAACAGAGAGCACATTTCTATGCAAACGGATAGGCCCAAATCCATGCTTGTAACTCAATGCATTATTAACAAGAAAGTTTGAGTTAAGTGCACACATCTGAAGTTAGAAGATTCATCTCATCTCTGTTGTCTCCTCCTCATCAGTAACTCCAGTAAACATCAACTCCTGTCCCTGCTATTGTCACCAGACTTATCAATCATTTCAGGCTGATGTTGACTTTGGCCATGTTCAGAGCATCAACACCGTGTATCATGGGTAAATTGTGACTGACTAACTGATACACTAATAACAATAATAATGAGTAGTTATTTATGATGCAACGTGATTTGTAGATCAGTCAGTCTCGACGCCTTCAAAGATGGCTGAAATGTCAAACGCCCTTGTAGTATCTAAACAGTTTATGACTTTGCTGACGTTTGCAAATGGTGTGTTAGAGGAAGTTGACTCAGCTTGCGGAAGCATCTGGAAAGCATTACTATAGGGGCCCCCTAAAACAGAGGAAGTCTGTTATGTGAAGGCCAGGGATTGGTCTATTCAAATCACGCCATATTATGTTACATATTATAAATACCATGGTTGGAACAAAGGACGGGGAGGAACAACATATTAGAGATTGGGTCAGTTGTTCTCCGGATTTTCTGCAGAAATCTGTAAATTGACGCTGAAATCTTTGATGTAATAAACCATTATAATCGAGGACAGTGTCAGCGGATTTCTTGTCATCACAGCATCTCAGCATCGTTATCTCGACACTACATTAATGGCGATGAGGAAGTTGGGATGTGTTGCGTCTTTTCTCAGCGTTCCATTCATGGGCGCCGAGCTGACTCCCGCTCAAGAGGCATGCAGGTACGGTGAGCTTTCTCACAAACTTTGGGCGCTGGTCAGTTCGTGTGCTTGTGTGTGTGTGCGTTGAATGAATGTACCGTTAAAAACTTGTGTGTGCACTTTGCTGTTATTTGCTGTGTGATAAGGTTCCATTCTAAATTTCTAAATTTGTTTGCGTTGAAAACAACGCAAACAGGGGGGAGTGTCTATAGGAATTGATAACACTGGGCACAGGGATATTTGGCTTGAATAAAATTAAAGGGAAAAGGAATAGCATGAAGGAATAAGGCCAGGAAATAAGGAAAATGTATACTAATTAGGACGTCGCTGATCTACGGAAGCCCTCAAAAGAGGCGATCATTAGGATGGGCCGAAAATCCTGAAAACTCACTAGGTTGATTTTTAAGGTCAGTTCTGGGAACTGGAGTTTGTGGAAGATACATTCAGTTGCATGTTACCCCTCGACATATAGTTGACGAGGTATATGTTCGAAGTAACCTCTCATTGAATATCTGCAACTCGAGGTAGCAGAAATTTAGGAAGGAACGATGACAAATAAGGAGCGACGGTAGCATGCTTTAGAGGACCGTAGGAACGGATGCATTCCTCTTGAATTGTGTGAGTGTGTGTGAAAGAGAGCCTGTGCATGTGTGAAAACAAAGGGGAGGTCTCTGCTGTGTGTCGACTAAGGATAAGATAACAGGGGTTTTAGTTTTTT